AATCTCTTATTAATTAGATTATTTATTCTATTAATTAAATAACCTTAAAATATAAAATTAATAAAGATCTATTTTCTTATTTTATATAATTCGATTTTAAGATAATTAAATAATCCTTATTATAAATAATTATTTATCGTTTAATTATTCTCCTTATTCCTCTATTCTATAGAATATTAAATTATAATTAATATTATTCTCTAATATATCTATATTAAATATCTCTTCTTATAATAATATTAGAATTAATCTCTTTAATATTTTAATATTTATTATTCCTAGAAAAGGGATCCTATAATCTATAAGATATACCTTTAGCGCTTAAGAGATTATTAAATTATAGGAATTGAAATCCTCTTTATTTTAATATTAGAAGTCTTTAATAAATACTTCTAAAAAGTAAACTCCTTTTATATTTCTATATATATTTATTATTTTAATAATCTAAATACTTTTAAGATCTATAAATACTAAATCTAATAATCCTAAGAACTATAATTCTATATTATTTATAATAAAATCGATATCGAGATCCTTCCTAACCTTCTAAGTAAGGCGTATAATATTAATATCCTTTAGAATAGTATTAAATTTCTATTATAGCTTTTTAGCGTTCTCTAGCTCTATTATAGAGCTATTATTATAATCTAAAGAGCTTATTATTATTAGGTTTATAAAGCTTTAATATAAATAATTAATTATTTTATATAGCTTCGTTTTTCGGGTTTTATAATTAATAATATAGCTTAGTAGTAATCTTAGTTATAAGAGTCCTAAGATACTCGAAGTAGATAGTACTTTTATAGATTATATAATAAGGGAATTCCTTATTATTAAGCTTATATAAGAGTCCTAAAGTATTTAAAAATAAAATAATACTCTTACGATTATTTATAAAGTATAATCGATAAGCTTATATATAATAACTATACTATTTATAGGATCGATCTTAACTTCTCTAGCTCTAGCTATTCTATATTATATTAAACGTAATACTAATTAATATTAAAAAGGCTTTACTATTTATATAAACCCTAATCTAATACTTCTACTATACTTATAAGCTCTAAATAAGTAGGGTATCTAATAAGTCTTATAATAGTTAATTCTTAATTAATTCTTATCTACTACCTATATAAGTTAGATATACCTATTTACTCTTAGCGATTATATAAGCTATAGTTTATATATTCCTAAGAGTAGTGGATCCTAGATATCCTAGATATTACTATCCTAACTATAGAGTTCCCTAATATTAGTTTAATAATTAGGGCCTAATCGGTATACGTTTATAAATATAAATATCTATAGAATTAGTATAATAGATACTAAAGCACTAGTAGAAGTACTATAGGGATAGGGAATATATTACGTTTTAACGAGGATACCTAGAAATATTATATTCCTATTCCGATCCTAATATACTACTTCCACGTACTTTTTAAGGGCTAAAAACCGATAATCGTTATAGAAAGAGAGTCGTAATTACCTGCCCTAAGGGCTATAATAATACTAATAGCGTCGCCTACCGAGGCTCCCGCTAAGCACTTAGTACCCTCATTGCTATTACTATTATAGGCGTTCAACCCCTCGCTATCGTCGTCTTCTATCCCCTTTGATAGTCGTATAGATTCTAACTAAGCTATAGAATTAGAAGATTTATAGTTATAAAGCTAGGTGCATCGTTTATGGGAATTTAGCTCTATTATTAATAACGTTAATTATAGGGGGCTTAATCGCTAAGAGAATATGCCCCTATCTAGTATAGTACCTATTAAATAGGGGGGAGACTCTACATATCTCTAGGAAGCCTCTTAGCCGAGTTGTATAGCTAAATCTGCTACCCGAAGTAGTATAGTTACCTCTGGAAAATGCGGAACTACTCTTTTTGGCTCCTATTGACCCCCATTCTATAGACGTTTACATTTGCAAACGTATGCCGATCAGGCCCTTAGAGCTTCTCAATCTGCTCATCTCTACACTCTGAGAGTTTCAGAGAGATCAGTAATGCTATTAAACAGTGAACAGTTATTACAAGAAGAGGTGAGATTAGTATTCTACTTTAAAGTGCCTACTTTCAGCCAGCTCCAGGTCTCCATACACATCAGCCCTGTACGTGCCTCACTTCCCAAAGAGCCATTCACTTTGGTATGGTGATGACATTCACCCCTACCTCCCCAGGGTGATCACTTAGTATCTCCTGGGAAGCACATTCCCTGGAATCAGATGAACTTGGTCAGCTCTGCGAACAGCAACTCGAATTATTTCAACGCGATGGACTCGACAAAAACGGGCGGCTGTGCCGCGCCGGTGCCAAAGGTCGCCCATCAATCGACAGTTGATATCTACAATGTTGTCAATGCTGAACCGACACAGCCTCGCTAGATATATGTTGACGAACTTGGTCCACGATTTACGGCCCATGGCTTCTCGCACGTATGTTTAACTTTCCAAGGGGGCTGGAAGGGTGTCACGAGAATACTGATCCCTGGGCTTGAGCTTGAGATGGGTGCTCGACCAACGCCTGACATTGCCACAAATATGACACACAGAGTGTATAGAAGGTTCTTTATCCGTGGCCGGGTGGTTTTGCTGGTGACTTGGAGGGACGTGGCCCATATTTACCGAATCGTGAGCAGGTCCTCGCTTTGCAGGCGATAGACCCGGTCGCCACTTCTACCACCGGACAAGCACATGATACGCTACTATCCTGTAAGATACATTTCGAAATTAATTTATCTCATACATGTAGAAGTGTTGCAGGAATGAGACGGTGGGAAGTGTGTAGGTGCCGCAGTACCGTGAATCGAAGAACGGCCTTGGTAGAAAGAGGTACTATGTATCAAGTATATGATTCGGGATTCCCACCGGCACTTCTTAGTGCGAAGAAAAGGCAACGACAATACATGTAGTAGACGACTCGTCTACCAATTCAAGTACCTGGGGGTCAAAGATTAGGCTCATTTGCGGACACCGCCAGAATAGAGATTGATGTGAGGGGGTTTGGGTCTCATCATGAGTCGTACACACACCAGCCATGCCGCTTCGCCGACGCCCCTGAGCTGCCTAGGCACGACGTCACAGGACAACGGGTGGCGTTTTTCAGGTTCGGCATGTTAAAACTCACCCATCACAAATGCATCAAAAATGGTAATCAGATCCGGATGGTTTATAGGCGCACTGCTACTGTATCAAAAAAATTGATGGCGACGATGGCGAACGATGAAGCTCAAAACAGGCCATGGATGTACGTGTGCGGACTGTCCACATGGCTTTCCACTGCCACAACCAGGCATGGGGAAAACATATGAACCGGCGTCGGCTCCGACTGTAGAAATGAGACAATACGTCACTTGCCGCGACTGATTGTTTCCCCTTTCCGGCCAATTTTGTAGGGACCACAACTCCTGCCGCATCGCCGCGTCTCGATTGTTCGTCTTATTGATTGCATGCGACAGGGACACACAAGTAGAGGGACAGAGAAAAATTGGATCTGCTACTAAGTACGCGTAGCCAAGGCGCGTCAGTGCTGCCTTACGTGGGCAATACGTAGTATAATAAGGTAGTTAAGGTCTCATAAAGTCTAACAGGTAGGGGGAGGGGAAAAGGGGGCGATCCCCACTGGAAAAACAGCGAAAGGTAAAGCATAGGCGCATAAGAAGGCTTCATTTTGCGCTGGCCAATGCTGATACCAAAGCTTGTGGGCTGGACAGGGCGAGGGGAGATTTAACGTGTTAGTTTGGGGGATCAAAATATGTTCTATAACGGTTCAGCCTTCTTAGAACTTGCAACGGAATCGCATATCTTGTGTCGAAAGCCTAAAGAGAAATAGAAGCCACTGACATCTTCGATGGAACTGCTTTCGCAATCCTTATTGAGAGCACATGAAGCCAATGGTCATGCAAGACGGCGCACGAAGTAGCCCACGCCCACGGTTCCGGGCAACCCGCGCATCCACATAACGCGCAGGGGGGCAGGGACACATGGGTGCGGGTACTGGCATGGTATCATCGAGTAAGGTTAAATTACCACACGATGTACAAGAAAACTGTGTTAGAGTTTAACTTTCTCTTTGAAGCAGGCGGGCGTTGGACGGGGCTAACCCCAATTCGTTCATATACTTTTCTCACACGCGCGCCCCTAGTCTCCTCCAGCCACGCACGACCACTGGTGCCAGAGCAGAGAATGAAACAGGTGCAGTCTTGTCTCCCCCTTCCGTATCTTTCGAGTGAGCGATTAGTGCATCTACATATGTCGTGGTATTTGTGAAAACCCTTGCACAACTGAGGTCTGTCTTACGAAGCCAGAATAGCACATCCACTGATGATAAAATTGGGCTCTCGTTCAGGTTCGAGTTGTAACGTGTGATCCAATTGGAAGATATCTGGGCTTGTCCAATAGTCCCAGACTTTAACGCACAATCTGGGCCGATGTAAAAGTAATACGACACAAGCAGCACCTGATATGTTCCATCTATGGCATTGTGAGGCTTCGCCCATATGTTTTGCATCAGCACGTCTCGATGTAACATGGTGAGGCTCCGCAAGTCCACGCGATATAACGCCCCATCAGTATGATTGACAGGACAACACACAACGGATGAACCCGACAAGCCGACACTGCCGGAGGCGAGCAAACTTAACATTTCGAGAGTCATTGCTGAATTACGCTTCCGGCATCCCTTCGCCTCAAGCTTTGCAGACGGGTCAGTGCCAACGTCGGGCTGGCTGGGTTCCTGCGACCTGCGATTGCCTCCAAAATGCCCTTAAACCTAAGTGCTGGCCCCATTTTGCATTCCTCTGATCATCTTGATTCGATCATGCTCTAGTCTTGTCATCACTCGCTTATATAAAAACTTCGAGCTTCCCCGACTTTGGCTCCCACTGTTTCCTTTTCTCCAAGCCCCGTCGACACAAGTCTTTAAAAATCGTTTCGACAAGTTCACTGATCCACCAGTTCATACACCATCCATCAACCTTAAGTGTGAAAAGAGGTCCACTATGCGTCTCTCCGCCGCTCTTACCGCTCTGCTCGTGGCCTGCGCCGCCGCCACACCTCACGGCAATCGTGACGCTTGCCCGGCCAGGAACCCCAAGAGTTCTTCCACGACTACTAGCAGCAGGCCAGCCCCGACTGGTCCCTTTTCCGACGACGCCTCTTGCGGTGGCCCCAAAAACTTCGTCTGCCGCGCTGGGAATTGCTGCTCTAGTGCAGGCTTCTGCGGCGTCACCGCGGCCCACTGCGAGGCCGGGTGCCAACCTGGATTGGGTGATTGCGGCTCTCAATTCGTCAAAGTCACGACCGGGCTTCCTGGCAGTGTTTCGACAGACGGTACATGCGGCCCCAAAAACGGCTTTTTGAAATGCCCCACAGGCAACTGCTGTTCGCGATTCGGCTTCTGTGGTGCTACAGACCTACACTGCGCCCCCGGGTGCCAGCCCGACTTTGGTTTCTGTCCCACACCCACCCCTGGCAGTAATGTCTCGCCTGACGGCACCTGCGGTGGCTCTAACAAGTTTGTCTGCGCTAAAGGGACCTGCTGCTCTAAGAGTGGCTTCTGCGGTACTACTAAGGACCACTGTGACGCCGGCTGCCAGTCTGATTTTGGTGACTGCGGCGATGCTTTCGTCCCCACCCCGAGCGGTACTCCGGCCCCCGGTAGTGTCTCTACTAATGGCAATTGCGGTGGTGCCAACCGCTTGATGTGTCCTCAAGGCAACTGCTGCTCCCAGTTCGGCTACTGCGGTGCCACGACTGACCACTGCGGTGCTGGCTGCCAGCGTGCCTTTGGTATCTGCACTTAAGGTGCTTAAAGCGGCGCGAGCGACTGTGTCTTACCTTGGTAGGAGCATGGCTGATGCGGAGCGTTGGAGATGGGTTAAGGTAGAATATTAAAAAAGCGTCATAGAGAAGCTGTTAATGTCGTCTGGAGTATCTCGTGGTTAGAGAACCCTTTTTGTCCTCTGCCCCTCTTTGTTTCCCCTGGGCTTAGGCTTTTTTGTAAACCTTAATTGTGCTGTATGTAACCCCCTTTTCTCGGTCGAAGATGATAATATTTCCTTCCGCTTGGTACATGCGGATGTACTTGGTCTCTTTTTGGCCCGAGCCTCTTTGACTACTTTTCTCTTGTGGCCCTGGGCAAGGGTTTCGGATTGGGCGCGGCTTGCAGCCTTTTGTTCTACCTCTACCCTTCTAGACCTCGCTTTCGCAGAAGCCGGACAATACCATGTGTCGTCACACAAATCCCGTCTCAAAGGTTCCAATGCCACGATGCTCACGAACCAAATTTTGAGACCATTCACATAAAACAGCGAGAGATCATAAAGCGCTATTAAAACGTAAAGATTACCTTGGATTTTGAGACCGAGACGCTCCGCTCTTATATCACGTCATTTATTGGCATGAGAGCAGTATCTCGAGATCGCCGATACTGATGCGCTAGGACGCCAGATCCACAAAATAGTGAATTGTGATGAAGAGCGTTTGGTAACCATCTACGTCATACTGAAGTAGGGCCAGTGAAGACCTCATCTGATCAGGGCCATAAAGCAGTCATTCGAGAAAAAGACAGGTCCTTGGACGTGTGGCGTAGGATTCATGATGTGAGCACCTTGGAGGTCCTCACGACGAGTCTAGCTAATGTCCATTTCCCTGATCAGCCACCCCTAATCACCTTATCGTTAAGCCACACCTTTGTGCCCTGTCCGATTTCAATACAAGACAGCAGCCACCAGAGGACCGCTAGTGATATTTAGGTTGGCACGTTTGTGCTGGATAGATAACACGACTTGCTCGTAATTGGAACATGTCTGAGAAAGACATCGAAATGTTTCTGTTGGAGACGATTCGATGAATTGTTCCCAGACACTAGTGTTGGTCTTCCCGAATCGAGCACGCAGGAGCCGATGGGCAGTCACAATTTTGTTGAGAGCAAGCTCAAGCATAGAATGTGGGATGTGTTCTCGGGGTTGGAGGTAAAAGAATTGATGGAAGCAAACGTTGATTTTCGGCTGATGGAGGAAGAATATTTGCTGAATTGGCGAAAGACGGACAGCCTGGTAGACATGCAAAAACACCCGAACGCTGGAATCTTTGCCCGCAGGGCTGGGACCTGACGGCACTAGCATCTGGGCAGCCGCGACCTCTGGGGATGGGGCTCTCGCGATACATCTTTTGGCGTGCATGCTAGCCAGAGTATGGCAGGGCCACAAGGCTATCTCAATTTGGGTCGAAATTGTTGAACGCCGGAAGCAGCAAATCCCCGACGAGTTTCAGGCGACAAACATGGCGTCGACGGCCGCGGTCCTAGCAGCGAAGCAGACCTTCAGTCGACAACAACTGACCGCCTGGGATGCAAGTGCTCGATCTTAGATCCAAATCGCAGACGCACAATTCAGACGGCAGCAGATTCAGTTAACACTGATCGTCGATAATATCAAATCACCAGTGAACTGCAAGCGCAACTCGTATGAGAGCGTGCTGGAAGCATGGATATCGGGAATGACAGGCATGGACCGTCTCGCCCAGGATCTATCGCAGAGGATTCAGAATGGTGCGCTCCTCCTCGCCATGCCAGCATGGCATCTTTATCCGGATATGGAAGTGCCCGTCAAAGACATGAAGTATGTCCGACAGAATGATGAACTGATGGGTGGAGCTGTCGTTACGCTTGCGGGCTACCGTACCACCAGCGATCAAGGTGGTGTCACTTGGTCTCTGCCCTTATCTCGCATGCGCTATTATTCCCGTCGAGAGTTTACAGAACGGAAAATATCATCTGACACCTCTCGTACTACCATCACGGAGTTATGGATCGTCGTGCTTGGCATTGCCATTTCCTCGTGGGAAAAGGCTTGCCCAAGCGTTCAGGACGGTTGTGAGTTGATCATGGAACTATCGAAACTTGTCAACACCGAAGCATCATAAGGTTGCTTGGATCTACCACTTAGCAAATGCAGCCAAAGAGTACGGCAATGCTCGTGACATCGACCGAGGTCAGTCTGCAAAGCTCTCCGGGCTTGGAAAACGACGATGCAAGAACTTCCTACCAAAGCTCCCAGTTTTTTTCGTTCTGGGTAGCTTCGCCAATCTGCTTGACATGGTCGATGACGATGATTATAAATTTCTTAAGCTACGTGTAAGGGTCCTGAACGTGGTCCTTTCGCTAGGGATGACCTGATTCTCCGCATCCAAAACGAACGCACATCACATCATGTGGTGCAAGAAGGTTTGAGAAACTGTCCAAAGAGATACACACGAAACCTCGGTTCTGACATCTAAAGATCCAAACACCGTCCTATACCTTCACTGATGGACATTTCTCAGGTGTCATAGAGATAAATCATGCTGTACTGGAGATGATTGCGGCTGTATCGTACCAGGCGGACCACTCTGTGCCTGTAGGCTATCAAAGCTCGGGTGTCGACTGGACTGTCATTTCGACATGAAAGCAGTCATTTCCTGCACGACAAACATGTTGACTTCATCCCAACTCGAAGGTCTGTCTTTCTATGACGGATTGCATCCGGCGAAGAACCTGACCCAGAGCATTTGGAGCAATGATCCCAGGAAATTCGCAATGAATTGCGCCGAAGAAGTCCCAAAAACATATAAAGGTTTTCTGGGCATGACTTCGGAGATGGCCTTGTTCGTTAAACATGGCGTCACCCTCGAAGGTGATCCTAAGATGCAGCAATCGAGTATTCGTTTTGTTCAGTCCCTATTTTCATCTGGCAAGATTAACTCCAAGACACTCATCCCTCATATGCGACATTGCTGGGTAAAAGAAATGAATATGGGGTACTTCGCGTCCGACACGATACCTGATCCGATCCATGCCCTGGAATATGTCAACGAAGTCTATTCGATATTGAATGGGGCGACCATCGACGTTCAAATCTTCGCTGGCTGAGTCTCTCTTGAGTTACAACTGGGTCTCTTCACTCCGCGCCCGATCGAGAGAGTCAAATTCTATCTATCACCTGCCTTTGAAGGGGGTTGCCGCAGTGTCGCAACGTCCAATTGGATTTGCAGCTCACGTAGACGCCGGGTCACCATTTTTCGAAACAGCATCATTTTCAAGCAGCGTGGGCACGGCCGACTCTGGGGTTTTATGCCACACATGGGCACAGGATGTGCGGTGTGACTTTTGCTTGCATTGCCATGATGGAGACCGGGTACATGAACATAAATCCAGAGATGCTGAAAGACGTATTGGCTGCATCGTCAGGAGACTACATCTTTGTTGCTTCCTATGTGCTGACAGATCCATCAGAGTCAGAAAAGCAAGGCTCCATAGAGCGAGTCTTCGGAAATCTTGGCCGGTCCGAGGTCACATTTCTACTTCCGCCTTCCCAGCCAATGTTAGAAAAGTGCGACTTGAGGTCTGGCGCTTCATTAATCACGACTCATTCGATGGCAAGTTTATCGACAGCTTGACGAATACATCACTGCATCTGTCATTCACGAACTACGAAATGCCACTAAATGTCGGCCCAAGAGCCCTGTGCGACACGCTTGCAGTTTTGGTGGAGTCGCTTGTGTCCATTATGACGGGGGCAAACATATCGGTGATTTGGACGTACTTGTCCATGTTCGCCAACAAGCGTTTGGAAATTGTTTGGTGTGAACACTGCCAATCCGAGGCAAGCGATGAGATGACACAGTTCAAGGGGCAAAGCGAAGTCATCTCTATTGGTAGCTGGGCTGAGCTCTTCGATTTCCCCATGAGAGCTTCGATCGTACGGGCTTATGGAAATTGAGATGCGAGACTGGCTTTGGCGTCAGCAAGCATCCAACAAGGGAGATCTGTTCTCCTTTTACCTCAAAAACCATGCCGGAAGTGTTTATCACTTGCCCTCGAAAGAATTCCTTATGATGTAATCATTATCTAGCCTTGTGTGTTATGATTGTTACTTGTTAGACCTATTAATATTACGTAGGCCTAGTGTCACAACCAGAGAATTCAAGCAGGACCGACAGACGACCCAGAACGATAACACAGCGAGGACGATAGGATATTGATGCCAGGCATCAGGTCACATGACAGGATCACTATTATATTAGTATTTCCGTGGCCTGTGTTCCAACGTGACAGGATCACCAACCAACAGTGAGCTTTCCAAGATGGGCTCACCACCTAACAACAAGGACAGGTTAAACAGGTAAATAAAGACGGGCATACTGTACCTGAAATTACATTTTTTTCTCACGATAGTAATTAACGTTAGTCTAAGTTGTACTTCATATTCATATCGACGAGTGAGCAACGCCTTGCGATGTCCTATCGCCTCAGAGTCACCACCCAGGCTTCTGCTAACAGCAACCCTAATCCTTTGACAGCGTTTCCCTCTTTGGAAGCTGCCAGGTCGTAACAAGCGCCTCCCCATCTTTGTGCACCAATAATACTCACGTTTCACGACCACGAGGCTATCAGACCTTGCCGGCGGTACGGGGAGGAATCTCGTCCATGTCAGGAACAATGCCAAGGTACTGGTTACCAAAAGGCCACGACTGAGGGCCACCAGACACCGTAACACCGCCATTCTGGCGCTCCACTGTAATAAGAATCCAGGTCAGCACAGTCCATCCCAAAATGGGTCTCCTAGTAGAGGGGGGGGGGGGGGGGGGTGGGGGACTCACTGTTGTTCCAGTACGAGTAGCCCTTGTCCTTGCACTGCTCGTTGCGTCCGCAGATGCTCGAGGAGCCGATACCACCCGCGTTCGGCGAGGTGATGACGACGGGCGCAAAGGGGCCGGGCAGGCAGCACCTGTTGGACTGGTGGTTGACCGTGTACATGGTGCTGGCGGTGCGCCAGAAGACGCAGATGGTGTCGTCCGGGTCGCCGTAGCAGGTCTGCACCTCGCCCGACTCCTCGTACTGCGAGACCTCGAGGCCGGCGCTGATCCAGCCGGCGCCGCTGATGCTGGCGCCGAAGCTGACGACGTTGCCCTCGACCTCCGACTTGGAGATTTCGCAGCCCGGGTTGCCGGCGCAGCTGTGGGGCTTCTGGGAGGGGGTGGGTCAGCTGTCTGGGTCGTTGGGGGGTTGGACTGCGGAAAGATGAACTTACGGTCATCTGCTGGAAGAAGTAGACCTGGTGGGGGTCGGGGTTTGGGTGCTCGGTGACGATGACGTCGCAGCCGGCAGGGCAGAAATTTTGGGGGAAGGGGCTGGCGGAGACGGCGCCGGCGAGAGCGAGAGCGGAGATGAGGAAGTTGATCATGATGAACGAGAAGAGGTCGCGGGGGAGATGTTGGTATGTGGAAGAAGATATGGAGGAGGATTTGAGTGAGGTAAGTAGAGGAGTTAGTGACGGCGAGGGTGCTGTGGGTAAAGGAGGTGTTGTCGAGGTTGTTGATGCTGATGTTGAAACATGATACTCAATTTGGAGATCATTTTGGGTTCTTATATACTATTTTTCGTCATGTTCGATCTTCACGACATGACCAACTTGTTGAACGGAGAGCATGAGGTCCGATTCGTGCACGTGGAACAGCATGGTAGTTCGATCCTTCATCGTCATGGACCCATGGTTCTTCATCCAGATCCTGTGGGATTCAGAATAACTCGAAGATCCATCGACGGTAGTAGCAAAGTGAGCTAGGGTCAGGAGATATGTTGCCTGCACAAGATGTTAAAGCCCAATTACAGATACACCAAAGGGCTGAGCTTCACCTCCACTTCGAGGCGGAAGCTTGACGCAGGGATCCTTCTCTAGGTGGACCCTGATTTCTAGAGCATGTTGGGCCTAGCGGGTTTGCCCCGAACAGGTGCTATTTTGAGGGTATACCATGTAAAGTGGTGCGGTGGCTGGGTCGTATCCACCGAAATCAGACGCATTAGGCATCTTTTGTGAAGTTGTACTACTGATCCTGGCCTCATTAAGCAACGTGTGCAGTCCCCCGACGGCCGTGATGTCGGTTAGCGGAAGTACTCGCTCGCAGTGGCAATTCATGTTTCATGCTATTCGCTGCAGAGCCGTCCACCCCGGATCTCTTTGTCTTGGCTGATCCTCCGGCCTGGAAAGCTTGAGGGTAATAAGGATTCGAGTGACGTAATTAAACCATCTGACTCAAGAAATTAGATCAAGCTTGTTTTCATGACAGAGGGTATGTTGCCATTGTTGCAACATGTGACGAGCCCTACGGCGGCAGTATTGAGGACAACCAAAGACTCGGCGTCGTCACGCGCGCATGGCGGGATGAAGCCCAATTTAGGTGGACAGCAAGCTTGAAACTATAGCATAGTTTTTTGTGGTACTGACATCTCGCTTTCTCTCTCACGTGTGAGGCAAATGTTATGGACCTTCTTGTGAGGAAATAATAATGGCAAGCGTATGTCATTGAGAAATGTGCACGCCTACGACTGCCCTTTCCAGCGCTGAATCTGCCGATCGCCTGAATCATTCAGCGAATCTGCTATGCTCGTTCATGTGCTGAACAGGTGGTTCGTAGCATCAGGCACGCCCATAATCTGCAAGTTTCCCAAGCAGGACGACTCGGCCGAATTAAGTTCAGGTAACATCACGAACAATTCTATTTAAGGCCTATCCCTTTAGTGCTGGAATTCGGCCTTTATATAAACAATACACTACCTCAGAGATTTAATATACATCGAAGCAGGTACTAGAACAGTATATAAGGGCAGGTTCGTCTTTAAAATATAGGTAATGTATAGTATCTAAGTGTTACGGGCACAGTGGACAGGCAACCAAGTGGATCCTATTACGTGACCGCAAGTCGGTGATCACGGTCCTATAATTATCGATAGGGATCACTTTCCCGTAATTACCGCTAGATAATTATAGTATAGTGATTACGGAACTATAATAATTAGCTTTTATAAATCCTAATTATATAATTAAGGATTATAATATATATAGAGAACCCTTATATCCTCTTATAATAGGGAGGGATATCTTAATATAATATTATTATTCGAGTATTTAAGATCTAAGATTATCGGTCCTTATAATTATAATTATATTAAATAATAATAATTAATTTAAATAAGCTAAACTTATTATATATTATATTATTAAAAGAATAATTAGTATTTTAAATAATAAAGAGAATTTTTATTAGAAAATTCTCTTTAAGAGTTCTAATAGTCTATTTATTTATTAAAGCGTTAAAGTAATATTCGGAGATATTCTAGCTATTTATTATTAATAAATAAGAATCTTATTTTAAAGAGGCCTTATTAATAGTAGAAGAAAAGAAACTTAGTTTAGAATTTAATAAGATTTTATAATAGAATTTTATATTATCCTTAAAAATAGCCTATATTTAAATAGAGTAATAAATATTTAGGAATAATTTTATAAAAGTCCTAATATAATAGATATTTAAGTTAAAACGTTTTCCTTAAATTATAGACGATTAATAGAAAATATATAAAAAAGTAATTATTAAAAGAGGGGACCTAGAAACCTTTAAAGTATTAATAAAGAGCTATAATTACTAGAATATAAATACCTTAATAAGTAAAATTATTAAGAAATTAAAGAGATTATAATTTTTATTTTTAATTAAATAATAGAATTTAGGGTTAATAATACTAGAAAAGCTAATAATAAGACCTATAATTAAAGAAGAATTTAGAATTAGAATTATTATTTTAGGAAATATATCTTTTTATAATTAGCTATATAATTAAAATACTATAAACGAATATTATTAATAACTATTATAGGTATAGTAGATAGGTAACTAGGTAGATCCTATTATATAACCGTAAGTCGGTGATCACGGGACTGTAATTATTAATAGGGATCACTTTCCCGTAATTACTACTAGATAATTATAATATAATAATTATAGAACTATAATAACTAGCCTTTACTAATCCTAATTATATAATTAAGGATTATAATATATATAGAGAACCCCTATATCCTCCTTTAATAAGGAGGGATATCTTAATATAATACTATTATTCGAGTATTTAAGATCTAAGATTATTAATCCTTATAATTATAATTATATTAAATAGTAATAATTAATTTAAACGAGCTAAACTTATTATATATTATATTACTAAGAGAGTAATCGGTACTTTAAATAATAAAGAGAATTTTTACTAGAAAATTCTCTTTAAGAGTTATAATAGTCCGCTTACTTATTAAAGCGCTAGAGTAATATTTAGAGATATTTTAGCTATTTATTATTAATAAATAAGAATCCTACCTTAAAGAGGCCTTATTAATAATAGAAGAAAAGGAACTTAGTCTAGAATTCGATAAGATTTTATAATAGAATCCTATATTATCCCTAAAAACGGCTTATATTTAAGCGGAATAATAAATATTTAAGAATAACTTTATAAAGGTCTTAATATAATAGATATTTAAGCTAGAACGTTTTCCTCGAGCTATAGATAATTAATAAAAAGTATATAAAAAAGTAATTATTAAAAGAGGGGACCTAGAAACCCTTAAAATATTAATTAAGAGCTATAATTATTAGAATATAAATACCCTAATAA